TACGCATTATGCTGTGGGTAAAGTTGAAGCCCCTAAAAGTGTGAGTAAACATTAGGCAGGTAAAGAAAAGGAAGAAGATTTTTCCAAATAGTTGGAGCAACAAATGCAAACTCCCAAGTCTTGATGTAATATGGTATTTTTATATCGATCATAATATAGCCCCTGGAGAGGCTGGACATCAAGGGCTAGAAATGAATATGATAAACTAGGCAGGGGTTACTTTTTCCAGAAAGTTAACACAAAAGTGTGTTTGCTCTCTGCACCTTTTGTATTTCCAGACTTCTCATATGGCTTTTGAAAAAGATCCAGAGAAGACTGGAGTAAAATAAACTGTCTAACCCTGGAGTTCTTTTTTCACAGTTGCCAGTGCTGAGAACTATGTATTATCCTGATTTCTATGTTATAAAGTACTTTGTGGCTGCTACAACTCCCCAGTAGACAAAGTAGTGACAAATGTGTATGTGTTCTTAAGGTAGGGACATTGACGATAAATTAGGACAAAGATAGAATAAACTGCCACTTGGTAGTGCCGATTTAGTAATCACATGAATAGCACTTTAGAAAAACATAGTAACAAACATTTATTGAGCAACTACTGTGTGTTAAATACTCTTATTAAGCACTTCCCCTAGGCTTAATCCATGTAATTTAACCCATGCAATAGTTGTAAGAGGTCACTTTTTAGTACGTGGGATGCATTCATGGTGATTCCCTTTTACAGGTGGGCAAACTGAGGCATGGAGAGTCTATCAAGGTACAATCATGAAAATAGAAACCACTCTGGAAATTTCAAACATGATAGTATTTAGTACAGAAAATCAAGTGCTGAGAAGCCTTTGGAAGAGCTGGAGGAACTACTGTCACGGTAAGTTTTCATTTGCGCCACTGCTTCTATGGTTCAGAGAACAGGGAAGTTGCTGCTATTGGTGCTGCAGCTGCCACTCAGAAGCCAGAAAATACCAGAAAACCACCACTGGTGTGAGGCAGGGACTGGCAGGGAAGAGAGCCAAAGCCCAAAAACACAGAAGAATAATTTGTCTTTCTTCCACTTCCAAATCTCGGTTAAGTACATCCCACTTGGCAAAATGTAAATGAATCCAGAACACTGGCCATAGGGCTCTGGGAAATGTAGTTCCCAGGATTCCAGCCCTGCCTTAAAAATAGCAGAGAAGGGTATGTGAGAAAGAATGCTAGTATCCATTTTCTACTGGTGCCATAACCAATTAGCACAAATTTTGTGGCTTAAAACAAACCCGCTCCTTATCTCACGGTTCTGTAGGTCAGAAGCCAACTGGACTCAACTGGGAACTCTTTAGGGTCTCCTAAAGCTGGAATCAAGGTGTCAGCCAGCCATGCCCCTGGGGAGGAATCTGCTTTCAGGCTTGCTCAGGATGTGGGCAGAATTAATTTTTTCAGTGTGATTTCCATCTTTCAAGCTCACACCATGGGTTGAGTCCTTCGCACGCTTCAAATCTCTTATTTCCTTTCTGCTGTATCTCTCTGACTTGCTATTTTTCCTTTAGCAGTTCATAGGATTACGTCGGGTCTACCTGGAAAATCCAGTCTAATTCCTCTAGTTTAAGGCCAGCTGATTAGTAACGTTAAATACATTTGCAAAGTCCCTTTTATCATCTAATGTAACCATGAGAGTAATACCAGGGGACGAAGATCATGGGAGTCAAAATTCTGCCTACCACAATCCCATTGGAAGAAAACATTTCAACACAAAAGGCTAAGAGATTTGCTCAAAATTATTCATGTTCTTAAGGCTTATCAATTTTAATAACAGTTACCACATACCAAGTGTCTACTATAAGTCAGAAAATGTATAAGATGTATCTGTTACCCCATGTATTTCTTTTAAGAAGTCAAATAGCAAATTGAGAGACTTCACAATACATAATGTAGTGTGTTATGACAATTTAAATAACAGATAAGTGCTTAGCATAGTGCCTGAGATGATTAAGAACTCAAATCACTTGTTGTTATTGCCACTTCAGAGATAAGATCATGTGGCTCTGAGAGGCAACCTGTTGCCCAAGACCACAAGACTAATCAGTAACCAGCATATGGTTTCAAATACAGATTGTCCAACTTCAAATGTAGAAGTAAATGGATAACATTTCATGCGATTAACTTGGTTAACATACTGCCCAGTAAATATTATAATTAACATGACACACAAAATATACTATTAGTCTAAATAGACATGACATTTCTAAAGGCTACCTACTATTGACTGGATTCAGAGTCCAAATTCCTTATCTGGCTCCAATGTACTTAACTCCCAACACCATCTCTCTCTCAGCATAACCTACATAAACCCTTCAATTACATTAAAAACTATTTTCCAAAACAAGTCATACAAAAATTGGCATTCTTACATTTTTTGCCAATTTCCTTACGTGTTTGACTTAAAACAGCTAGATTCTCATATGTGTTTCTACATTCAATCTGTTATGATAGCATATATGACAATTTTCCAGAAGCTTCTGGAAAATTCCATTCAACATTACTGAGACTACCATAATGAAGAAGACACGTGTCTTCCTATGAGGAAAACAGCATAGACCTTGCATACCCCCAGGGATCCCTGAAGCACATTTTGGGAATCCACCGGCTTAAGAGTATGGTATTCTGTGGTTGACCTAGATTTCCAGATCTAGATTCCAGTGTTAGGCAGTGGCTCTACCAGCTCTATCGGTGATGAGGCGGGCTTTATGGAACGATTCTATTTCCTGCACCTGGCACATAGAGGGTACTCAAAAGCTGAGCGTGATTATCGGGCAGCAGGGCAGGTCTTGTGAATTTTGAGATCCTTGGGACAACTTAGGAAACTCCAGAAAACACCAGTAGGCCATGACCGCTCGCCTGATCACAAGACTTGAGTCCTCAAAAAATTCTGTCATCAAGATACTGTTTTAATGCACGATTTAAAAATTGAAATGGGTTAACCTGTGCCCTGTAGACAGGCTACCTGTTTTTGTAAACAAAGTTTTACTAATAATGATTTTCGAAAAACTTCCCAAGTCTCCGCGCAAGTCACAACAAAGGCCTAACTCAGGGACTCGCTCGCCCGGGCGGGGAAGCCCCAACGGGCTGACTTAGCAGCACTCTACGGAGGGAATCCCGGTTGTCCCTCAGGTAACTTCCATTTCCCAGCAGCCCTTGCTCCGCCCGCCCCGCCCCCTCCACACACTCGTCTCTGATTGGCTGAGTTGCCCAGGTTCGCGCTGCCATTGGCCCGGAGTCCCGGGGGCTGGGTCCTTAGAGACTTAGCTCTGCCGTTCTGAGCGGGGGCGTTATTGTGTGTGCGGCGGCGGTGGCGGTCGGAGGAGGACCTGTGGGAGGAGGCTGGCGCGGCCCCGCTGGAGGTATGTGGGAGCCGGGCAGGAGTCCAGCGCAAGCGGCGCCTGGCCGGGTCGGGGGTGCGCGCGCGCCGTGCGCCTCTTCGGGGGCGGTTGCGGCGGGGTTGACTGAAATGGGCCCGCGGAGTCGCTGGGCGTCTGGCCCGGCCGAGAAGACAGCCGCCGAAGGGCCAACGGACGCCTACTCACCCCGTTCCGAGCGGGCCTCGGTGGCCGTGTTTCGCGGCCGCGCGCGGAGCCTGTGCGGCGTGGGAGCCGGGCTGCAGAAGGACCCGCCTGGGGGTTTGGTGCTTGCAAAATAAGCAAACGCTTCGGACCTGCCCAGCTTACTTTCCCAGGCGAACGGGTCACACGGAGGCCTCCTAGCCCTAACTTCTGCGTTCCTTTGCCAAATTTCCTTGAGTTGTTTCATGTTTCTCAAGAAACCGGGGCCAGAAGAGTTCACTGGATTTCACCCGACGGCGGTGAGACATCCCTTGATAAAAGAGTGTTACGAAGTAGGCACTGGGACATAAGGGATATTTTAATTGAACAAGACGCCAAAATGCCTTTTTAAATGAAGGCCCGGAGCACCTGCAGAGCTTACAGTACAGGGAAGCTGGTGTACTGGAAATCGGACCCAGCGCGGAAAGAGACGAACGGCACGCCGTCAGGGATCAGAAAAAACTGGTTTATTACGGCACCGGTGCGGCCTCCGCGAGTACCCTCCAAAGGCTGAGCACGGTGATGCAGCGAGCAAGGCTTTTTTTGTACAGGCAGTCTTCCGGGATGGGCCGGGCCTTTCTGCAGTTAGTGGGCCATTGGGCAGGGAACGCCCCCAGGGGACATTCCTTAGGTTGGCTCAGTGGGCTTAGTGGGGGCAGGGATCATTCCTTCACACTGGGATTTACTGAGGAAAGCCCTGTGCGGACAGAGATGGTTTTTTAACACAGAAGTTCATTGTTACATAAGTTAAAAAGAAAAACATTTCTCCTTATTCCCCCTCCCACACCTGCACTCTTCATTATTGTGAAGTTCAAGGATGTGTCCAGTACCGAGGAAGCAAATGTTCTCCTTTGTTCTTCTGACCAAGACCTTGCTGCGCTGGGAAGACTGACCTCACCTTTCCGTGTTAGTATGGTGAAGATGAAGTTTCTAATACTGCGCCCAGAATATTGACTTCCATTTTTCCGTGTTACTGTATCTCTTATTTCCTTTCTGCTGTATCTCTCTGACTTGCTATTTTTCCTTTAGCAGTTCATAGGATTACGTCGGGTCTACCTGGAAAATCCAGTCTAATTCCTCTAGTTTAAGGCCAGCTGATTAGTAACGTTAAATACATTTGCAAAGTCCCTTTTATCATCTAATGTAACCATGAGAGTAATACCAGGGGACGAAGATCATGGGAGTCAAAATTCTGCCTACCACAATCCCATTGGAAGAAAACATTTCAACACAAAAGGCTAAGAGATTTGCTCAAAATTATTCATGTTCTTAAGGCTTATCAATTTTAATAACAGTTACCACATACCAAGTGTCTACTATAAGTCAGAAAATGTATAAGATGTATCTGTTACCCCATGTATTTCTTTTAAAAAGTCAAATAGCAAATTGAGAGACTTCACAATACATAATGTAGTGTGTTATGACAATTTAAATAACAGATAAGTGCTTAGCATAGTGCCTGAGATGATTAAGAACTCAAATCACTTGTTGTTATTGCCACTTCAGAGATAAGATCATGTGGCTCTGAGAGGCAACCTGTTGCCCAAGACCACAAGACTAATCAGTAACCAGCATATGGTTTCAAATACAGATTGTCCAACTTCAAATGTAGAAGTAAATGGATAACATTTCATGCGATTAACTTGGTTAACATACTGCCCAGTAAATATTATAATTAACATGACACACAAAATATACTATTAGTCTAAATAGACATGACATTTCTAAAGGCTACCTACTATTGACTGGATTCAGAGTCCAAATTCCTTATCTGGCTCCAATGTACTTAACTCCCAACACCATCTCTCTCTCAGCATAACCTACATAAACCCTTCAATTACATTAAAAACTATTTTCCAAAACAAGTCATACAAAAATTGGCATTCTTACATTTTTTGCCAATTTCCTTACGTGTTTGACTTAAAACAGCTAGATTCTCATATGTGTTTCTACATTCAATCTGTTATGATAGCATATATGACAATTTTCCAGAAGCTTCTGGAAAATTCCATTCAACATTACTGAGACTACCATAATGAAGAAGACACGTGTCTTCCTATGAGGAAAACAGCATAGACCTTGCATACCCCCAGGGATCCCTGAAGCACATTTTGGGAATCCACCGGCTTAAGAGTATGGTATTCTGTGGTTGACCTAGATTTCCAGATCTAGATTCCAGTGTTAGGCAGTGGCTCTACCAGCTCTATCGGTGATGAGGCGGGCTTTATGGAACGATTCTATTTCCTGCACCTGGCACATAGAGGGTACTCAAAAGCTGAGCGTGATTATCGGGCAGCAGGGCAGGTCTTGTGAATTTTGAGATCCTTGGGACAACTTAGGAAACTCCAGAAAACACCAGTAGGCCATGACCGCTCGCCTGATCACAAGACTTGAGTCCTCAAAAAATTCTGTCATCAAGATACTGTTTTAATGCACGATTTAAAAATTGAAATGGGTTAACCTGTGCCCTGTAGACAGGCTACCTGTTTTTGTAAACAAAGTTTTACTAATAATGATTTTCGAAAAACTTCCCAAGTCTCCGCGCAAGTCACAACAAAGGCCTAACTCAGGGACTCGCTCGCCCGGGCGGGGAAGCCCCAACGGGCTGACTTAGCAGCACTCTACGGAGGGAATCCCGGTTGTCCCTCAGGTAACTTCCATTTCCCAGCAGCCCTTGCTCCGCCCGCCCCGCCCCCTCCACACACTCGTCTCTGATTGGCTGAGTTGCCCAGGTTCGCGCTGCCATTGGCCCGGAGTCCCGGGGGCTGGGTCCTTAGAGACTTAGCTCTGCCGTTCTGAGCGGGGGCGTTATTGTGTGTGCGGCGGCGGTGGCGGTCGGAGGAGGACCTGTGGGAGGAGGCTGGCGCGGCCCCGCTGGAGGTATGTGGGAGCCGGGCAGGAGTCCAGCGCAAGCGGCGCCTGGCCGGGTCGGGGGTGCGCGCGCGCCGTGCGCCTCTTCGGGGGCGGTTGCGGCGGGGTTGACTGAAATGGGCCCGCGGAGTCGCTGGGCGTCTGGCCCGGCCGAGAAGACAGCCGCCGAAGGGCCAACGGACGCCTACTCACCCCGTTCCGAGCGGGCCTCGGTGGCCGTGTTTCGCGGCCGCGCGCGGAGCCTGTGCGGCGTGGGAGCCGGGCTGCAGAAGGACCCGCCTGGGGGTTTGGTGCTTGCAAAATAAGCAAACGCTTCGGACCTGCCCAGCTTACTTTCCCAGGCGAACGGGTCACACGGAGGCCTCCTAGCCCTAACTTCTGCGTTCCTTTGCCAAATTTCCTTGAGTTGTTTCATGTTTCTCAAGAAACCGGGGCCAGAAGAGTTCACTGGATTTCACCCGACGGCGGTGAGACATCCCTTGATAAAAGAGTGTTACGAAGTAGGCACTGGGACATAAGGGATATTTTAATTGAACAAGACGCCAAAATGCCTTTTTAAATGAAGGCCCGGAGCACCTGCAGAGCTTACAGTACAGGGAAGCTGGTGTACTGGAAATCGGACCCAGCGCGGAAAGAGACGAACGGCACGCCGTCAGGGATCAGAAAAAACTGGTTTATTACGGCACCGGTGCGGCCTCCGCGAGTACCCTCCAAAGGCTGAGCACGGTGATGCAGCGAGCAAGGCTTTTTTTGTACAGGCAGTCTTCCGGGATGGGCCGGGCCTTTCTGCAGTTAGTGGGCCATTGGGCAGGGAACGCCCCCAGGGGACATTCCTTAGGTTGGCTCAGTGGGCTTAGTGGGGGCAGGGATCATTCCTTCACACTGGGATTTACTGAGGAAAGCCCTGTGCGGACAGAGATGGTTTTTTAACACAGAAGTTCATTGTTACATAAGTTAAAAAGAAAAACATTTCTCCTTATTCCCCCTCCCACACCTGCACTCTTCATTATTGTGAAGTTCAAGGATGTGTCCAGTACCGAGGAAGCAAATGTTCTCCTTTGTTCTTCTGACCAAGACCTTGCTGCGCTGGGAAGACTGACCTCACCTTTCCGTGTTAGTATGGTGAAGATGAAGTTTCTAATACTGCGCCCAGAATATTGACTTCCATTTTTCCGTGTTACTGTGGTGAAGATAAAGTTAATAACGTTTTAAGCCAGCGTATGTTGCTTGCTTGGTGACAAGTTCGTTTTTACTGCTCTGAACATTTAAATGTGGTCAAGGTCTAGAAAAAGATAATTGTTCTGAATAATTCATTAGAAATAAACCTTTAGGAGAATTATGTCATATCCATTTAAACAGACTGATGTTCCAGATTGGGATTTAATACTCTTTTTCCTTAAGATTTTGTCATATATTTACTCAATGTAGTCTGTAAATGATCTGGGACACAATTATGTGCAAAACAGATGGGGAAAAATATTCAAGGTAATTTGTATCACAGGCAAGTTATTGAAAATGCAAAACCGAAGTATCTGAATGGATTACACAGAATGCAGCTTTAGGGAAATATGCCTCCGTAGTTTATCCTTCAGTTCGTTTTTAGAAATGTTGAGTTTGACCTTAATCATATGAATCTACTTAACTCTCCAGTCTTATCTGCAGATTTATACAGACCACATCCTAAGACTGATTTCTGCCTCAACAGAAATGCATGAACAGTGCCTTTCGGAAATGATTTGTGTCTTTTAAGAATTCGAATACCTAAGTACACCTTGAATTTTCTGCTCTGCTTAATTTACTGACTCTTGTACTTTACCTCAGCCTTACATCCCACAGTATTTTCTTGAACTTAATATCTTGAATTATGCTATTAATCAAAATTATTAAATGATTCCTACCTCCTTACCCGGGTGTATCATGTAGTTCTCTCCCAGTGGGTGTGTAAAGATGTATTTCATTTGATGTAATCAAATTTTAAGTAATATACTGAATAGTTAAAAATAAAACTTTAACTTTAAATGCACAAGAATATTAGTCCCCATTAAGTTTAGTGAGATATTAAGTATAAAATACAAAGAACAATATTATTCTTATTCTGTCACATATTATTACATCACTTAAATATTTTCTCCAAGGCTTAATTAAACCTCGAGCCATACCTTTAAGATGCATTACTATAGACTCAAATAATTTTTTATACTTCTTTAATTTTACCAACCTAAGTAGGACAGAAAGATTGTAGTCAGGCAATACCCAGAAAGAAAGAAACTTCACTCTGGGTTGGGGAGCTAATCAGATATCATTTGAATTTTTGAACTGCTGATTAAATTTCTAGGAACATAAAGTAGGTTTATATACACATCTTTCTAAATTTAACCATTGTTATATAGAGGCACTATTTGTATCGAGTATATGTAGTACCGTTAGTACACTTCTGAGGTTCTAGTAATGTGTGTATAGTACTGCTCCCGTGAAATACTTTATGGAATAGCTATGGCAAAAGTTGCCAAGCCTTGGGTGGCTTTTTTGTAAGTTGAGTATCCGTTTAAACATCATTTAATGAAGCTATATGAAAGGCATCTTGCTGAAGTTATGAAAATAAATGGCACCTTTCTGCCCTCAAAGCGCATGACTAAAACTACGTATTTGTAATGGAAATAAGACCAGGAAGTAGTTCTCTTGGGGAAAGGCTTCCCTGAAGAGGTGACCTTTAAACATGACCTTGAAGGACTATAAAATTAGGGAAAATATTGATATATGATGGTTCTGATGAATTTGCGATAAAATGTGATAGCTTCAGAAAGAACAATGTCATAGGAAAAATAACATTGTTGTGATAACATGGTTATGTAGAGAGCATTTGCCTATAACAGCTTAAGTATTGATGTAACTACAAATGTGATGACAAGACTTACAGCATTAAATCCTCATCTGTAAGTACAGGTACTTGATAATGGCTAAAATTTGTGATTTAAGAAATACTAGTATGGATATATTATTTAAAAATATTGAGACTTAAAATTTAATTTAAAAAGATTGCAGCTAGGCATTAAGGAATATGAACAAGCAACTACTCTATTTCATTATAAGCATTTTATACTGCCTCATTTTATGCTTTTTACTTTGATAAACACTTTTTTAAAGTCAAAATTCTACAAGCAGTTAGAAGATACTGATGCTGCTGCTCTGTGGACCATACTTAGAGTAGTAAAGATTAGTTCAGGGTCATTATGAGGTTGCCATCTGGCACACAGTCAAGTTTTGTCATTTTGTTGATCAGTATGTAACCCTTAAGGTAATCCTTTCTCTTTATAATACCTTACCTAATTTGTACTTGTGATATGAGATTTCCTTGCATCTTAAGATCCTGGGTTCAAATACTGGCTTTGAACTGTTTACTTGAACAGGTTATATAACCTAACATAGGTTCTTTGCTTTTTTTAAGTTTTTACTTTTTAGGAAAAGGTAGAAAAAGATTTGGTTCAGTTGATTATTAAAAAATGTAATAAGAATTGCCCTTTATTTAAAGTGTTTATAATGTATTAAGATACTATCACAGCAAGAAGCAATATCAGAGATAGAGACCTTTCATAATAACCAGTCCATCTTCAGAAACAGAAAAAATAAACTCAAATGAATATGTACTCATACCCTGAAACTATATAAAGGAGAAAACAACAATGAAAAGTGGGCAAATCCACAACCACAGTGAGCCACTCTTACACTCCTGTTTTAATAGCTGGAAGATGAACAGCGTAACTAAGAAATTAAAGTAGTTTGTATTGATGTATGATAGCACTGCACCCGACAATGTTACAATACATGTGTTGCTAAAGTATACATGGAGCTTTTGGAAAAATTGACCAGGAAGCCAGCCTCAACGAATACTACAGGATTGAAATAATTCAGAAGATGTTCTCATTACAGGGGAATTAGGCTAACTTTCAACAAAAATGTAACTAGGAAATCTGTAGTTGCCTGAAACTTAATATAATCTTTAAAAATCCACAGATGATAGAAGGAATTAGAATGGAAATTAGATTATATTTAAACCAAGTGATAATTAAGATAGAGTTTATCAAAATTAGTGGGACTTAATTAAAGCAGGACTTAGAGGAAAATGTATAGCTTTAAATGCAAAGTTAGAACAAAAGGACTGAAAAAGATCTGAGTTTTCCTCTCAAGCTGGAACAAGAACAGATCAAGCCAAAAGAAAATGGATTTTAATGCTAATAGGAAATCATGACCACTACTTAGAATAGAAAGTCACCAAAGCCAAATGTCAGTGCTTTAAAGGTATTGATTAAATGGATAAATTTCTAGTAAGAATAATAAAGAAAAAAGAGAAACATAATATCAAGAATAAGAAGAGCACCACACTAGGCTGGGTGGGGCCTGGCTGGCCACAAGGGCTGGGAGGAAGCAGTGGAGATGACAGCAGTGGACAGAGGTCCTGTACCAGGCAGCCATCAGCCAGTATGACCATGCCGATGCATCACTGGGCTAGGTTTGCTGCAAAGCTGACTTCCAGGATCAGTGACTGCTAATGTACATTCGCTTCACTCAACTGCCTAGACTAGCTAGAGAAGCTTGTGCAGGTGGTGTGGCAGCTAGAGGCTGAGACTGGCCTGCCCTTTGATGTAACCTGTCTTACGGAAAAAAAAAAAGTGCGTGGTTATTATAAGTATAATTAGAAAACATGAAGAAGAACTTAAAAAATCTGAAATTCTGTTGATGATTTGAAATTGTGTTAAAATGGAAAAACAACTAAAATTAACAGGAAAAAAAGGAAATATGAATGGTCCTGTGTACATATTTTGAATTCAATCATAATTGGAAATCGTTATCACTAAGTTAACTCCAAGCCCAGATGGCATTATAATGAATTACTTCTCTAACATTTAAGGCAGAAGTAATACCACTTGTAAACAGACTTTTCACAGAATAGGAAAGATTTTCCAGTTCATTTTATGAGAACAGGATAACCTTGATATCAAAACCTGATAAAG